CTCTTCCCCTGTGTCCATCCCTCCATGCACTCCTGCCCCCTGAGCTGTCTCCCTGTGCATGCACAGCCCTTCTGTTCTCCCAAGATTGTTCTCTCGAAGGAGTGCATCTACCTAATGTAAATGTTCAGCTCATACGCCTGTCTTTTGTTTAGCTGGAAGCCCCAGGTGTGGGTTCAATTCCAGACTTGAAGGGCAGTTGGGGCCATTGTCTCAGTGGTTCCACCAGGCTCTATCGGACCAGCAAACCTGATGCCCCTTTTTTTTTTCCCTCGAATGATTTTGAGTTTTGTTCCACATTGTTCTCCCTCTCTATCCAGGATCTCCTACATAGATCCCCCTCTGAGTGGTTGACAGTAGTAGCCAGGCACCATCTAGTTCTTCTGGTCTCATAGTTGTATAGGCTGAGGATCACATGGTGTACCAGTTGCTTGGAGTAATTGTTTCCATGCGTCTTTGGTTTTCTTCATACTTCTTTGCTCTGGATGAGGAGAGACCCATCATTGCATCTAGATGAGGACCCACGTTTTGGAAACGTTTTTGGCTGTCCATGGGGAATGCAACGGAAGGGAGTTCAGGGGCTCGAGTGTGGCCATGGAGCAAGGGCATATGGGAGCAGGAGCAGGGTTGTAAGGAGAGCTGGGAGAGGCAGGTGTGGGGTGCAGACGGACATGGGGACCTGGAGCCACGGAGCTGCTGACACCCACTTTCAGTCTCCGTCTTGGGCAGCAGGTGCAGCCGGGCACAGGCCCCAGGGGGCAGGATGTGAAACACTCCCTGGGCCAAAGCTACCAAAGGGACAGTGATCAGTCCTGGGTTAGTAGTTACAAGAGACACAGTTTGCCGGTTCCCCAGCTGGCAGCCCTGTATCCCCAGACCCAGGCAGTGTGAGTGCAGCCTCCGGGGGTGGCCAAGGCTCACGGCCCCTACAAGCGGCCGGGGCAGCTGAACCCCAGCACCTGGTGGTCTCGACCCTGCAGGGCACCTGTCCAGCAGGCGGCTGTTTACTCTCCCTGACCTGTGACTACCGCATCCTGGCTGACAACCCTAAGTACACCATCGGGCTGAACGAGACCCAGCTGGGTATTTTCGCCCCCTTCTGGTAAGGGCCGGGCTGCCAGGACTGTGAGCTTGTCCCCCGGGGTGACCACCTTCACCCGGGGCCCCACGGCAAGTGCTGTCTTCACTCCAGGTTCAAGGACACAATGGTGAACACCATCGGGCACCGTGCCACAGAGCGGGCCCTGCAGCTGGGGCTTCTCTTCACGCCCGCTGAGGCCCTGCAGGTGGGCCTAGTGGACCAGGTGGTGCCCGAGGACCAGGTGCAGAGCACAGCCCTGTCGGTCATGTCCCAGTGGCTGGCCATCCCAGGTAAGGTGCGCGCGCGGGGGGGGGGGGGGGGGGGGGCACTGATGGCAGAGGGGGACCAGAAGGGCCCCATGGGAAGCTCCCCTGTGACCGGGCCTCGGCTGCTCAACTAGCCCATGACTGAAGACAGCTCCAGAGCCCTCGCATGAGCAGTTACACTCTTGGCTGCCAGCCCAGAGGTTGGGGGTTCAAGTCCACCAGGGGCACCTCGGAAGGAAGGGCTGGTGAACGCAGCCACCGAGAGCTCTGTGGGGCCCGGCTGTGTGCTGGCCCACGGGCTGCCCGCGGTCAGCAGGCTCCGAGGCCGCTGGTTGGAGGCAGTGGTGCTTCCAGGGTAGGACCCCTGCCTTCAGTGCGGGTGACATGGGTTCGATTCCCAGCCGGGCACCACGTGTGCAGCGGAGCTGTGCCTGTCGCCGGCAGGCTGATGAGGCTCCAGGAGACCAGGAAGGGGGGCCAGGGGGTGTGCTTGTGAGGGTCATCCGCTGGGGCTCCTGTGGGGGTCAGTTCTCTGACACAGAGTTGAGAGGGCGTCTGGTGGAGGGCGAGCTGCTTGTCTGTGCAGAGACACGGGGGTTACATGGGTGGAGACTCATGTCAGGGGGCCGCAGGAGACTGCTGCAAGAAGCCGGGTGCAAGTTCAGCTTTGGGGGACCCCTGTGCCCAGTCTTCCTCCAAAACAGCTGTGGAAGGTCTGCAGATGGGCAGGTAACACAGCGCACTGGTACAGCCCGGGCCCTGCAATTCCGTGTCAGGCAATCCCCACGTGACAGAGCATTGGGGTTTTTATTTTCAACACTTAAAGCAGGAAAGCCATGACAAGCCCTACAAAGAGGCGGCAGGTGGGTGGCTGAGCGCTGGGCAGTTGATGGCATGGCCGCAGTGTGTTTTATGGTGGGGACAACGAGCCGGCTAGTATCGCGGCGTGGGGCGAGCAGGTTCAAAGCACTTTTGACGGCAGCTGCTTGTCTGTTCAGAAGAGCAGTTGGTGGGCTACGGGAGACGGTGTTTCTCAGGGTCTCCCCTCGGTGGTTGGGACTTCCTGAGCGGCCCGAGTTTGCGTGTGCACTCTGGGGAAGGCCGCGCGTTTTCACATGGCGCCTGTGTGTACAGACCACGCCCGGCAACTGACCAAGACCATGATGCGCAAGGCGACCGTGGACCAGCTGCTGAAGCACAGGGAGGCCGACATCCAGAACTTCGTCAGCTTCATCTCGCGAGACTCTATCCAGAAGGTGCTGCAGGTGTACCTCCAGAAGCTCAGAAAAAAGAACCACTGAGGGCCTGGCCAGAGCACCCCTCCGCAGGCCGTGGGCCCCAAGGGAATTAAACAGGGTTTTTTTCCCCCTTAAATGGCATTTCAGTTTGTTTTACTGACCCTGCTAGAAGGCCTTGTTCTCTGGAGCCGGGTGTCCTCAGTCCCCACCCCCACAATCCATCCTGCCTGACGGGTGACACCCCCCGGCTGTGACGCCCCTGACTTGGGGGCCATGAGGGGCAGGTGGGACCCGAACCACTCCCTCACAAAGGCAGAACTGTGTATAAAGTTCTCTGGGTGCTCGTCCCCGGCCTCTGGACGTCTTTCTTGCTGAGGTGGGCAGTCAGGTGACTGGGCCCTGGTGAACCACACGGGATCCCCATACCCTTCCCCTGCAAGGAGGCAGCCCAGGGTGGCCGGCCAGCCCCTCCCCACTCAGTGCTGAGCCGGACAAGGCCTTGGGAAATGCCAGTGACAGAGCACTTAGCCCAGGGGCTCCTCCCAGCCACCCACCGCCCCCCCGCAAGAAGTACAGGCGTAACTCAGACACTGGGTTCCGTTCCAGACCACAATAAAGCGAACGCCGCAGTAAGCTGACAGGTTTATTGGTTTCCCAGTGCCTGTAGCAGCAATGGTCACACTCTCGGCGTCTCTGAAGTGTGTAACCACATGATGGGAAGGTTTGAAATATTTCAAGAATGACCAAAATGGGACACGGCCAGGAAATGAGCACACTGCTGTGAAAATGGCACCGATAGACTAGTTGACACAGGGTGGCCTCAAACTGCCCGTTTGTAGAAAAGAAAATGTAGTTGTGACAATAAAGGGAAGTATGATAGAGCAGGATCTGCCTGCACAGGGTCTTGGGGTGCAATATAATGGGGTCTGCCTGTACAGGACCTTGGGGGTGCAATATAATGGGGTCTGCCCGTACAGGACCTTGGGGGTGCAATATAATGGGGTCTGCCCATACAGGACCTTGGGGTGCAGTATAATGGGGTCTGCCCATACAGGGTCTGCACAGAGGACAGGGAGCGTCCTACTGTAGCCAGTATGGTCTGGGGGTGGCCATTCCACCAGGACATTTCATAGGCAGATCAGACTGTCCCTGCCCCCTCAGGATGCTGGGACCAAGAGCCACCTGGGCTGTAAGGTGGAGCCACAAGCCCAGAAGGGTTGTGTCCTTAGAAGACAAGGAGGCCAGAAGCAGCCCACTGCCACCTCACTGAGCCGTGGTGGTCACTAAACACCCACCAGGGCCCTGCATGGGGTACCCCGTGAGGCAGGCATCACAGCCCATCTTACAGATGGGAAAGCAGGCTCCAGGCACCCCACAACACATCCATGGCTGCCTGTCCAGGCCTCAGAAGAGTAGGTGCTGGCACCCAGGCCTGGCTGACCCTACCCTGCAGCCTCAAGAAAGAACCCAGGGGGCGGTTGCAGGTGGCTGGGGTCTGCAGGCTTTGGGCCGTCAGGTGGACTTGAGGGTCACCTCCACAGGGAAGTGGTCACTGATGACAAGAGCCTGGATGGAGAAGCAGGGATGGGAGACCCTCAGGGGCTTCAGAGAAGCTCCCCACCCCTGCGTTTGTGGGAAGGGTCATTGGGTCAAGCAGGGCACTGTGGACACCCTGCCTGCTGCAGGGACTGAGAGTGACCGCCCCACACGGGGACACAGGGAGACCTCAGCAGCACAAAGCAGCTTTGCCGGAATGCTCCACTCAGCTGGGACTGAACCGCTGACGGGCCTTCTCTGTAAATCCCGGAGCAGGCGGACAGGCCCCAGGTGCCAAGGACAAGTGCTCTGTAGGGATCCCGGGAACCGTAGCTGGGCAGCACCCTCCCCCAGCACCTGCCTGAGCCCGGGGAGCCCCAGGACCCCAGGACCGGCAGCACGCCCGCCCCGCAACACCTGCCTGAGTCCAGGGAGCCCCAGGACGGGCGGCACGACGCCCCACCCCCCGCAGCACCTGCCTGAGCCTGGTCCAGGCCGAACTCCTCCCGGAAGTCGTGCACCGCGGCCGAGTGCGGCTTCAGGCTCCGGCGCAGGCGCGCGCCGCAGGCCACGATGCGGTCGTAGGCGCAGTCCGAGTTGCCCACCGTGGTGTCCGCGCTGTCCGGGATAAGCCACCGGAAGACCTCGCTGCTGCGCAGGCGGATGGAGGCCCAGTCCTGCGGCCGCACGTAGCTGCAGTCCGCGTTGAAGTCGCCCAAGAACAGGATGTCCTGCGGGCGCGAAGCGGGTCAGGGGCCCCCGGGGCGCGCCCGCCCAGGACCCCAGGCGGGCCGGGGCGCAGCGGGGCTTACGTCAGTGGCCCACTTGTCGATCACGTCCAGGTACACGTCGTACAGCGCGTCCACCTCCGCCACAGCGTCGTGCGGCGCCGCGTGCAGCGGGACCAGCACCAGCTCCCCGGCAGCTGGGGAGAGGGCGGGGCTTCAGGGGCGGGGCGAGGCAGAGTCTGCTGGGCGGGGCGGAGTCTTTGGGGGCGTGGCTAGGGCGGGACTTTAGAGACGGGGGTGGGACCTGGGCGAGGCGTGATGGGCCGGGGCGGGGCCTTAGGGCAGGGGCGGAGTCTGTGGGGATAGGTTCCCTGAGGGGGCGGACCCCCCAAGGGGCGGGGCCTGTGGGGACAGGGCCTGGGGGCGGGACGTCAGAGGCTGGGGCGGAGTCTGCGGGGGCAGGGCGGAGTCTGAGGGGGGTGGGACCCCCTCTGGGGGCGGGGCCTGCGGGGGCGGGGCCGGCCTCACCAGAGCGGGGCGCCCAGAATTTCACCACGAAAGGCTCACGGCTGAAGACGTCCTCCGGGTCCGAGTAGTGGTAGGTGTCCATGACCGCCACCGCGTCCTTCCTGGGGGCAGAGGACAGGGGGCGCGCTGGGGCAGCCTCGTTCGGCCACATGCACTCCCTCCCCGCGACCCCACCCCCTCACCTGTACACGAACAGGTACATTTCCTTGTACTGGTCCCGCCCCAGGGGCTCGCTGCTCACGAAGCCATACTTGTGCTTGGACACGCTGCGGAGACACCAGGCCCAGGTCAAGGCCCTGGGCTGACGCCTGGGGTCCCGAGCGAGGGGTCGCGACGCGGGGCCCTGCCGCCAAACCTGTTGATCTGCTGCATGAGCGCGGACACAGCGCTCAGGTCCGGGTCCCGGACCTCCTGCACCAGCGCGATGTCATAGCCAGCCAGGATCTAGAGGAGGGGCGGGCAGGGGCAGGTTGCAGGCGGCCGCTTCGCCCGGAGGACCTGGCCTGCTCCGCCCCGCCCCTGGTCCGTCCCCGGCTTCACCTTTGCGATGACGCTGCCGCAAGCGGGGTCTGACACTTTACTGTCGCCAAAGCTCTGGATGTTGAAAGCTCCGATGCGCAGCGCCGAGGCCCCGGCGGCTCCCAGCGCCCAGAGCGTGGCCAGCAGGGCCCGGGGCCCGCCCATGGTGCGGCGCAGGTGGGCTAGGGGGAGCAGACAGGCCCGGTGAGCGTGACATGCAGGAGACACGCCCACCCACACTCCCGCCCGGCGCGGGGGCGCGGGGACCCGGCGGGGCCTGCCCCCCCGGTTGCTGGCCCGTGCGGAGACGTAACTTCCACCTGCCCTCTCGCTGGCTCTCCAGGGTGATGCGCTGAGCCCTCATCCCGTCGCCGTCCTCCCACTGCGGGAAAACTGAGGCCGGGAGAGTGGGCCCTGATCCCGCCCAGCCCAACTCTCACCTGGGCGTAAATCGGGCCAAAGGGTCTAGCCTGACGGCAGGTCTGCGGTACTGGACGGGCCACCAGGCTCAGATCCAGCAGCAGCTCTCCCTGGCACAGGCCCCGGGCGGCTATTTGATGCCTCAGCCCAGGGAGGGGCCAGGCTGCGCTGGGGCCCGCCCCCTCGCCGGGCTGGGTGCCAGACCTCCTGGTTCCCATCTTCCCAAACACCTCAAAGGCAGCCAGTCAAGGGATCTGAGAGTCAGGCCCCGGGGAGAAGGGCCAGCCACGCCCACTGCCTCAGCCTAGCCTGGTCCCTGCCTTCCAGAAACCAGGCCGCCTAGACTCTGTGTCCTTGAGCTGTTGTCCTGAGGCCCGGGCTCTCTGGGCCTGTTCAGCCCATCCCACAAGCTCTGGGTCCCCAGGGCCTGCAGGCTGGGGTTGGAGCCAGGGAGCAGCTCCCCTTCCATCGCCTCAGGAGGGCAGAACAAACAGGAGGCTGCATGGCAGGATGCCAGCACACCCAGGCACCACCACCAGCCCCATGGAGCCCTGGGCGGGCTGGGATGGCAGGCAAGGAACCTGCAAAGCAGGGGTGCTGCCCCGGGGCCACCACCGCACCGCCCCAACATCACAAGCTGTGGGCTTTTCGCGTTTTATTGTAAAGCAACAACCCCTCCATATGTACACCCCCCCGTGGTCCTGGACACCCAGTGCTGCGCCATGCCTCTGCACCCAGGCCTGGGTCCTGCTATACAATGACAGTCTGGACCTCGATCTGGCCCTCCGGAGAGGCAATGACCAGCTCGCCCGCGTGTCCCAAGATCTCAATGTCTTCTGACGACACCATGGTCACAGTGGCCTGCTCGGCCCCGCTGGTGCCCTCGCTGATGGCCGAGGCCAGCGTCATGGCCACCTGCTCGGTGAGGCTCTCGGGTGTGGCGATGGTGATGGTGTCGGCGGCGGCCTCGGGGCCCAGGCCAGCCTGCTGGTCCACAGTCATGTTCTGCACGATGATCTGGTGCCCCGCACCGGCCTGGTGCACGATCTGCCGCACCACCTTCATGATGTGGCTGTCCACCTCTGTCTGTGTGCCCTCAATGACCTCGGTGGCTTCGCTGGTCTCCGCATCATCCGCGGTGGCCTGGGCGAAGGACAGACATCAGCCGTCAGCGCAGGCCGCCCGCCCCCCACACCCCCAGCTCCACCAATCCCGCCTGCCCCCCCACCTCAATGATGTACTCCTGAGTGTCCGCCACCATGGACGAGAACTCCACCAACACGGTGTGGGGGTCCTCGGCCAGGACCGTGGCGGCAGCTGCGGGGCTCTCCTGGGGCACCAGCATGTCCTCTACCTCCAGCAAACAGCCCCCTGCGGGCAGGGACAGCGCAGTCAGGGCCCCGCCCCTCCCCACCGCCTCTCCTACCGACCCCGCCTCTTCCATCGCCACGCCCCTCCCACCGACCCCGCCTCTTCCATCGCCCCGCCCCCCTCCGCTGCCCCGCCCACCGCAAAGACCTTTGGTGCGCAGGTGCCGGTTGAGCGTGCCGTGCTCCGCGAAGCCGCGGCCGCACCGGAAGCACTTGAAGGGCTTTTCCCCCGTGTGGTGCCGCACGTGCCGGACCAGCGAGCCCTTCTCTCGGAAACCGCGGCTACAGAACTGGCACACGTGCGGCTTCTCCTCCAGGTGTGTCCGGAAGTGCACCTGCTGGGCGTTCTGCGGAGACCCGCTGTGAGCGCCCGCTGCTCGGCTGACCCACCCACCAGTGCTGCCGGGCTCTGGGGCGGCCGGGCGAAGGAGGCAGCGTGGGGGTGGGAGGGGACCTTGAGCGAGGGAGGCAGGGCCCCACCTTGGTCTTGTAGCGCTTGCCACACTCGGGGCAGGGGTAGGGCCGCTCGTCCGAGTGCACGCGCCGGTGGCCGCGGACGTGCGCGATGGTTTTGTAGAGCTTCCCACAGTCCCCGCAGCGGAAGCGCCGCTGGTCCACGTGCACCTCCTGGTGCTTCTTCAGCAGGTAGGCCTTGGGGAAGGCCTTGCCGCACTGGGCACAGGCGAACGGCCGCGGCCCTGAGGACGCACACGGTCATGGCGCCACGCCCACTGCCCTGGGCCACCCGGGTCACCAGTGCCCTCCACGGGCCTGCCCTGCTGCTCACTGCCCATCCGTGGGCCCGCCCCACCGCCTCCTGCCCACCCCCGTTCTAGCCACCCACCTGTGTGGCCCCTCTTGTGGGCCTCCAGCGTGGCAGCCGTGGGGAAGGTCTCGCTGCACTGAGGGCACGGGTGGGCCTTGGGCATGCCTGCAGCTTCACTGGCCACCTGCTGGGAGACGGGGGCTCACCCCCACACTACTGTGGGCGGGCTGTGGGCTGGGTCCCCGCAGTACCAAAGAGGGCAAGGCCCTCGGCCTACCATCGGGAGGGCAGGTAAACACATTAACCGACAGTCACCCGGAGGGCACGCCCAGCAAGAAGCTGAAAGCTGGACCACGTGGGGGCGAAGCAGCCAGGGCCGGCCGAAGGGGAGCATGCGCACACAGGGACCTACCGCTTCCACTTGCTCCACAGCCAGCAAGGGCAGCTCCGGGGCACAGACTCCCAGGTCCTGAGAACCAGGCTCCGTGGCAGGGGCCGGCTCCAGGGCGGCCCCCTCCTCTCCTGCCACCCGCTCAAGGACGATGCCCGAGTTCTGCATGGCTTGGTGCAGCAGGTTCTCACGGCCACCCTCACCGGTGCAGGGCAGCCCCTCGGAGCCAGGGGGCTGTGGGCGAGGCAGGACACAGGCTGGCCAGGCAGCCCAGGGCCTTGTACTCCCCTCATGCCTCCACCTCCCCCATCCAGGACCCTCACTGCCTAGCCCCTCCACCCCGGGCCCAGCGCCTTCAGCCCCCAGTCCCTCCACCCCAGGCCCAGGTCCCAGAGCCCTCATCCCCCAGCTGGCCCACCTCCAGGCCCTGGGTTCTCGCCCCAGGCCCCCACCTCCGGGCCCCCACCTCTGGCCCCAGGCCCTTCATGCCTAGGGGCCGCTCCTGCATCTGCACATGGACTTCGTGGATGACGGTGCCCTTGGCATCTGTCACCAGGTGAATCACAGGTGATGTCTCCATGGGCTCGCTTGTCACCGTTGATGGCGTGGCTGTCCCCATGCTGGGAGGGCCTGCCCCTTAAAGGCACAGCCGAGTAAGGGCTTGAAGAGGCCCTGGACCCAGCAGCCCCCAGAGGGCCGCCCCAGGGGGCACGCAGGCCTCGCTGACCTGCAGGCCCCTCCTCTTTGCCGACAGCCACGTCCTTGTTCACGGTGAAGCGGATCTTTTCCGTGCATGGGGTAAGAGACTTGAGGTGGCGGGTCAGCGCGCCCGACTCCCGAAAGCTCTTCCCGCATTTGGCACACTTATAAGGGCGCTCATCTGTGGGGAGACAGTCAGCACTGGGGGCTCGGCCTGTGGTACCAGCCCGTGGCAGTCGGCGGGTCAGCCCCACTGTCACCTGTGTGCCGCCGGTGGTGGCGGATGAGCGAGCCCTTGGTCCGGAAGGAGGCCCCGCACAGCTTGCACTCATGGTCCTTGCGGCTGCTGTGGGTGACCATGTGGGCCTTCAGGATGCTGCCCTGAGGGGAGAGGCGGCAGGCTCAGAGGCCCTCTGGGCGGAAGACCCCCATCCCCAGCCCAGGGCCCCTCTGGGCAGAGGACCCCCAGCCCCTCCCCGCCCCCACTGCAGACGCACCGTTTTGAACGTCTTGCGACACAGTGCACACACGTAGCGGCCCTCCTTGTTCACCAGCAGCTGCACCTGGGCCGGCTCCCCGTCCCCGGTGGGCCCGGCGCCCTCAGCCACCTCCTCACCGTCCCCTGGCTCCACCTCCGCTGCCACTATCACCTCCTTGATGTGCCCACCACCTGCGAAGAGGCAGGTGCCCAAGGCCTTCTGTGTGACTGTGCCGCCTCCACGGGGTCCCCGGGAGGTTGCTGATGGTTATGGAGCTGCCGCTCAGGCCAAGCCCAGGTCTAGACAATACTGGGGAGACCCGACACAGATGCCCCAGGAAGCAGTCAGGGAACTGCTCACCCCCATAATCACCTCAGAACTGCCGGGAACAGCCCAGGCATGTCCAGAGGACGCCCACCTTGAGCACAGACGGCCAGTGTCCCCAACCAGGGACGCTGGGGAGCAGTGACTGGATGTCTGCTTGGCTGCTGCCCCCCAGCGTGCACAGGGCTGACTGCGGTGGCCCGTCACAGCCCTGCCCGGCTCCCCTCAGTCCACGAGGTGTTTCCGACAGCTCCCCGGCCGCCGGGCTCCGCCTGGGAGCGCCAGTCCCAGTGCACGCCTGGCACCTCTGTCGGGTGTTGGGCAAACACGACAACGTGCAAGCCAGGCTGTAAACACACTTCCTGTGTGCTTGTGAAAGAGACGGGGACAACTGTGAAGCTACCACTCAGCCTCCTGAGTGCCGGCATCTTGTCTTGACAAGCCGTTCTCAGAGCAGAACGAAGGCGCCCTGCACACTGAGGAGACAGGACCGCTTCCCGAGCCCCAGTCGTCATGAGACACGTCGGCCACCTGAGCCCCACTCGGCACGCTGAGGGGACAGGGCCGTCGCCTCCCAGTCCCACATCTTCCCTCCAGCTCAGTGATCTCCCACCAAGGACAGAAGCCCCTGGAGTGGGGCTGTGGCCAGACAGGCGGGGGTGGAGAAGGAGATGGGGCCCGACGTGGCCAGGGGACATGGTGTTTCCAGGAAAGGGCAGGCAGGCCCGGGGGTGGTGTCCGGCCACGTGGGTGTGCCCTCCCCCCCTGCACTGGAGGCCGGCACAGCTGGCAGTGCATGAGTCTGGCTGTTCCCTGCACAGAGCTACCTGGTGTGCCCACCAAGAGGCCTGCAGGGGGAAAACCCCAGGGGGACCCAGGAGGAGCCCCTGGGGCGGATGCCAGTCAGGGCAGCAGGAGGCGGCCGCTTGGCCAGAGGCCAGGGACCTGAGCGAGAGATTCGTTCTCTCAAGCGAGGCCACCTGCCGAGAACCACAGGCCACACCAGGGCAGGAGCACAGCCCACCTCCCACACAACAACATTCCTTCCCTGAGTAACAGCATACGAATGTCCTATCCACAGGAATGTCAGGGAGGGACAGCTGAGGACAAGGACAGGTGTCCAGCCGCCTCCAAGGTGGCACCTTGGCGGCATCTGACGCCCATCTCCCTCAGATCTCCTCCCCACCCTTCCTGCCAGAGCCCTTCCCAAGGACTTCCCAAGGCCAAGTGCTACCTGTTGCTCAAACCCACTTCCTGCCCCGCTGTGGCCTCGCCCAGCTGCCCAGGCCCCTGCCCGAGCATCCCCCCCAGCTTCCTGTCATGTTGCCCAAACCACCTCCTGCTGGGGTCTGCACACTCTCTTCGGAGACACCCCCAGGCCCCAGCTGCCTTTAAAGTGTCGCCTCCACTCGGTCCCCAGGGAATGAGAGCCTGAGCCCCACAGCCCTGTCAACGCCCACTGCCACGGCTCATCAGCATGGCCCTTTAACTTAAAGCAAACCACGCCAGCAGAGAGCTCTGGCTTGGCGCGACACGCTCATAAAAACCTGAGAGTCAAGGCAGGAATGGTCACCCCACTCTGCCAAAGCAGAGTACCAGGGGGCGGAGGCCAAGGCCGGGCAAGGGGAGGCCAAGGTCAGACCAGTCTGGCTGGGCTGGAGAGGAGGCTGGTGCCCCACTGGCACCCACTAGTCCTACACCAGCCTCCAGGGCCACCTGAGAGGGGCATGTGGCAGAGCCCGGGGGGGCTGGCAGAGAGGGGGGCGAGTAGGAACCGAGTGGAGGCAGAGAGCAGGGGCAGTTCCAGGGGGACCAGGGCAGACTCAGGCTGGGGACGTCCAGCATGACAATGGCCAGTTTGCAAAGTAGAGGCCCCTCGATGCCCAGCTGTGCCCAAGTGCCACTGGGCCACGCTGTGAGGCGCCCTGTGCCCAAGCCCCAACCCTCCGGCAGGCAGTGCCCCTGGGAAGGCTCATAGGAGGCACCAGCCCCCTGCTCACGGGCCTGTCCTCCAGCCCTGGGCCCATGGCCACGGGGTCGGCGCACCTCAGCCCTGAGGAAGCCACACGTGGTCCTGCTTACCCACAATGTCGGGCGGGTGGCCGAGGTCTGCCGCCAGAGAGGCCGCCTCCACCACAATGTGGGCCACGGTGATGGGCTCCTCCAGGGCCGGTGCCTGGACCACCTGAGATGGGGATAGGGCAGAGAACAGGCACACATGGGCTGCAGAGCCCCCAAGAGGAGGCCACTGGGCACCTTGGCACTCAGCTGGAGGTCAGCCCTGTCCCCCTAATGCCCATGGGGAGGCCTCCCAGAGGACTTGGCCACAGCTCTGGGGCCGGCTGGCTGGTTATGCAGAGAGATTAGGCACCTACACCTCCAGCCGCTACCAGGGAAACAACGCAGGGTTGGGGGCTTCCTGGAGGAGGGGGCCCCTCTGGAAGGGGATGGGTGGAGAACACAGGGTCAAATGTCATCCGGGCCACTCCCCTCCTGGGGGCCTGAAGCCACTGACCTCTCTCTCAGCTCCCTCCCACCCCCAGCTCCTGCCCAGAGGGGTGTCATGGGATTTGAACAGCCCAAGCTCAGCAAAGCTGGTGTGTTCCCAGGGTGGCAGGACCCCCAGGGCCCTGCTCCGTTGCTGGGGTGGTCAGAGACCAGGTGTGCTACCACAATACCCCTGAGCTGGTGGAGACCCTCAGGCTCCAAGAAGGGAGGGACCCCAGGCCGCAACTGTGCAGAAGACCAGGCCACCCTGGTTCAGGCAGGAGGCCCCAGGGCACCAGCAGGATCCCAGCCTGCCAGCCTGCCTGCCCGCCCACCCGTGTCGCCAGGGAACCAGCTGCACAGGTCTGCCTGGCACAACGCCCCCTCCTACTGCCATCAGATGCCCCCGAGGAGGGTGCACGGTGCCCGCGTGAGAGCATGAGGTGGCAGCGGCGGGTGGGTGCTCACCTCCTGGCCCAGCAGCTCCGAGGCAGCAGGGGTGGTGGGCAGGGCGTCCTGGGGGGCCCGTTGGCAGGCCTTCTGGAGCTTGTGCTGGACAAAGTCCTCCAGGGCAGTGAACTCGGCCTGGCAGCGGCCACATCTGTGCACGTCATCCTCATCTACGAGGGGCTGTGGTCAGCGGAGCCCTGCCCACTGCCCCCACAGGCCTGGGCCAAACCCGCTGGGGTGGTAGCAGACCTCGAGGCCTCTGCCCTGGCCTCTCACAGTGCTGCCAACACCTGCTGGGGAGGAGGTGCTGGTCTCGTCCTCATGCCCCCGTCGCCCCTTAGGCTGTAGGAAGCCACTGTGGCTGCCAGCCTCAAAGCCCCCACTTCAGAGATGAGGAGCCAGGCGTGGGCAGGGGGTGGGGGATTCGCCTAAGCCCACGTGGAGACAGTGAAGGACTGCGGGGGCCTGGAGGCAGAAGCTGTGTGCCTGAGGCCTCACCTGTGACACAGGCCCATCCCAGCCCTGCGGTCAGGGAGCAGTGGGGACCCAGACAGCTGGCCAGAGCACTCAGCAAGCACAGTGAGGTGGACGTGGGGATGGGCTGACCTCTCTCCCCCGACTTGGGGTGAACATCGGGCAAAGACGCCCAGGGTGGGGCTTTGCAGAGTGCCCTAAGCCCCGAGGCTACCCCACCTGAGCCCACTACCATCAGGCCACCCAGTGCTTGCCCTGGGTCCTGTGAGAGAGACTGCCCACTCATGTCCCAGGCCTCGCCAAGCCCTGGTGGCACCCTGGGGAAGATGGAGATGATCATTCCTGTTCTGGAGAAACAATGGGAGATTTTGGGCGGCCCAGGAGGTGTGAGTAAGGTCAGACCCCGGCCCTGGCCAACCCCAGACGCCTGCCATTGGCATGGTGGGATGGGGAGACGCCCTTCCTGCTTTTATGGAAGTGGGTCAGCCCCGCCAGCTCCTGCTCACTCCCACACCAAGGTCAAAGCCAGGGCCTGGCACTCTAGAGGCACCCAGTGAGGGCTTCTTGACTAATGACTGAGCAGAGGGCCACAGGATGGCCACGGCTCACCCACTGAGAGCCAGCTGGCAGAGGGCGGTCCCCTCCAGGGGGTTCAAAGTCACAAGTCAAGCACTGAGGCACCCGTCGCCCGCTTAACTTCTCACTCGGGGAGTCTGACTCCATGCCACAGGGTGGCTGTTGAAGGAGCTCCCAGGCCAGGAGGACGCTCACCCAGCCGTGGCATACCGAGACGAGGGCGGGTGGGGCAGAACATCCACAGGCCCCCTCCCCACCTGGGCTTGCCCCCAGTGGTACTGCCCTCTGCAAACTCAACTAAGAAGCAGATGGGGGGGAGCCCTATGGGGACAAACACCACCCTTGATATCACTAGCCTCCTGCCTTCTAATCTGTCCACTCCAGCTCAGGGGACAAACTCAGAGGGGGACACCCGAGCTCGGTATCTGAAAACTTCCCCCGTCCTGTGACATATTCTCAGGTTCCTTGGCACCGTGCCGCTCTGCACGCATGCTCTAACTCTCCCCCTCCCCCTATGACGTGGCGGAAGCCAGAAGTTAAGGGGTGGGTTGGGAGTGACCCAGTCCTAGGGATCAATCCAGTCCTGGCTACTCACCGGCTGGGTGACCTGACACACCCACTTGCACATCTCTGAACCTCAGTTTTCCTCGCCTATAAAATGGGAACAATGTCCACGTCTCGGGGTGGGTTTGAGAATGCAAAAGAGTGAACAGCGGATGGCTGTTGTCTGGGACGTAAATAGCAGCACCAAGGCCAGCCGCCTTGCGTAAGGGGAAATGGAGGCTCTGACGGGTGTGGCCGCCCGCCCAGGGTCCAAGAGCTAGCTAGAAGGGACAGGTCTGAGGCCCAGGGCAAGCCGGCTGGGCTCTGCAGCCGGGCCAGTGCGCAGCCCAGAGTCCCGGCAGCGGCGGGCCCCGGGGCTTGGCTGAGGTCCCCAGGGGGGCAGGGCCGGCCGGAGCGGGAAGGGGGATGCCAAGGTCCCCAGGACGAGCGTCCGGAGCCTGGACACCCGTGAGCATCTGTGAGCAGGCACGAGGGTCCACGGGGGCGAAGGGAGCCCCTAGGAATAGCTTGTGGGGGTCTGAGCAAACCTAGGAGCTAGGCGGGGCCCACGAAGTCCGCGAGGACTCCGGGTCGGAGTCTGTCGCCGCCGCCAGGCCAGCCATCCGGGCCTCCGCCGGCCCGGACCGAGCCACCCCCACCTCAGCCGCGCCCAGACGCGGTAGGCCCCGTTACCTTCCTCGCTGAAGGGCGCGGGAAGGCCGAGGAAGCCGCTGGGGGCCAAGGCCGCCGCCGCTGCCGCCGCCGCCACGACCCCGCCCCCGCCAGCTTCCCGCCCGGCTTCGGCCCGGGCTTCTGCCGTATGAGCGGCCGTCACCCGCACTGCCATCGCGCCCTCCATGTCGCAACGCGCCCCAGGAAGATGGCGGATTTACGACTGTGTCGTCATAACAACGGGCCGCGCCGAGGCGAGCGTGAGGGAACGATCAGACCAGGGCTGGGCGGGGCCAATGTGAGATTGACGGCCAGAAGGCGGGGAGGAGTCTGAGGAGGGGTGGAGCCTGGGGCCGCAGAGGCGGGGCCAGGCTCTTAAAGAGAAGAGACGAGGCGGGACCTGTTGTGAGGGGCGTGGTAAGGGTGGAGCCGACTGTAACGAGTGGGTGGAGCCTGGGGTTTGTGGGCGTGGTCTGGTCCGAAGAGCAGAGGGCTGGGGCGGAACTAGAAGGGGAGGGCTTGGGGGCGGAGCCGGAAGAGACGGGGTGGCTTTGCAAAATCTTCTCTTTATTTTTTGTTGTTTTCGAGAATATATTCAGCAGAACGTACAACAATTCAGCAGTTTCTACATTCATAATTCAGTGATACTGATCCCATTCTTAAGTTGTGCAACCTTTCTCACCCTCCTTTTCGGAGTTCTTCGTTCCTGGTTGACATAAACTCAGAACTCACTGTCCTGCTTCCTATCCGATCTTCAAGTTTTGCAAAGCCTCTCATTGTCTTAAATATAGTGGTTTTTGCGTGATGAAATAAATCTGCTGTAAATTAGTGACATATAATGCGTTTGCAAGGTTGTGGAACCGTCAAGTTTCACAGCATTTTCATCACCCCAAAGGGAAACCCTTTACCCATTCAGCAGTCACTTCGCGCTCCCACACGCACACGCCGCATCCCCTGGGAACCAACACTCTGCCTTCTGTCTCTGTGGGTTTGTACTCTGTACATTTCATAGAAGTGGGATCATAAGCTACATGGTCTTTTCTGTCTGGTCTCTTTCACGTAGCATATTTTTTTCAAGATTCGTCCATATCGTAACATGCAGCAAAACTATTCCTTTGTGTAGGCAAACAATATTCCATTGGACCGCGCAGCGTTTTCCTTCTGTTGTACACAGATGGGTCGCTAGGAGTCCAGGCTGACTCCACGGCACCCAACAACAACCACGTTCCATTGTGTGGATTGGCCCACTTTATGTTTATTCATTCATCTGTTGACAGGCGCGGGTTGTTTCCACTCGGAGGCTATTGTGAACAGTATTGCTAAGGACATATATGTACAAGTTCCTTCTATTCTTTTTAAGGGAATAGTTGATTAGCATTTTGAAGCAACACGCGTTACAGGAGTGTCTCATGTAAGATGCCAGTCACCTCCATTTTAAAGATAAAGGGACAGACAGGACAGGTGTCCAAGGGGCGGAGCCAAGCAGGGCTCTAACCTAGCTATGTCCAGAGCTAGGCAGTGGGGCTGATCCTGGGGAAAGCCAGTAGGATGGGCGTAGCCAGGCCTGAAGAGCAGAGGGCTGGGGCCGAGCTGGAAGGGGCGGGCTGGGAACCCACTGGGCATAGTGTGCCGGCCGACACCCAAAGCCAGGGACCCAGGTGAATCAGACCCCGCTTCCTCCACAGAGCCCGTGTCCAGGAAGACTGGACAGGGCTTGAGGGTCCGAGAAAGGCAGCTCAGTTCCAGGAAGAGCAAGGAGGCTTGTCTCTGGGCTGAGGCTCCCCGGCAGAGGCGTGGACGGGGGTAAGGACTTGACCTGGAAGAGGCTGCAATGCGGAGGCAGGTTGGGTCATGGGTGGCAGGGTAATATAGGGCTGAGGGCGGGCTGTCACCACTGCAGGGGCTTAAGCAGGAGGACAGGAAGTCCTTTCAGAAAGATCCCAAACTGTCTTGCAGAAATGGGACTGGAGGGATCCCACCTATGGCGTCCCCATGGGTCAGAATCGACTCACTGACAACTGGTAACTGGTTTGACAAGCTTTTGCACTATTCTGTTAGTTTGACAAGATGGTGGGGTGCAGAGCAAAGCTCATTCCTGGTTGCTTAGTGAATGCCCAATAAACCAAGGGCACTGGGCAATTGCTTCCCACGCCAGTCCGTGGTTAGATGTGGTCAGCGTCTCCCAGCCAGCTCAGTGCACCAAATAAACTGGGTGTTGCTAGGTGGTAAATGCAGGGTTTATGATGTTTTGTCAAATCCAGTTCTACTCAGAGTCAGTTCATCTGTCAAAACTGAGTGGATGGACTCAGAGAGGAAGGGTGCTCGCCCCTGGGTGGAGGGTGCTCCCAAGGGGAACACTTTGCAGGTCCCACCCTGGGGGCTGTGACCTCCAGCAGTTCCAATGCCAGGAGCAAGACCACAGAAATGGGCTGTTGCATAAACAGAACCCGAGTCCCTGTTTTTGCCTGATGGGTTTGGGGTGGGCATAGGGAGCAGAGGACTCCAAAGAAGACTGAAGAGACCTGGGATCGCAGAGGGGATCAGGCGCTTTACAGACCACGGAGTGGGGGCCTGGATCACTGGGCACAGCGTAATCCCTCCAGAAATTGGAGCCCATCATTGTCTACTGCAAGTAATAACCAGTGGTCAGCGTACCCCTAACCATCCCACCTCCGTATCCAGGATGTCTACAGGAGTGTGTGAGAAGGAACACATTCATAGCAGCTGTTCACAATAGCCTCTAACGAGAAGCACCCCATATACCCAATAGTAAGAGAGCAGATAAACTAGGGTGCACTCTTTTTATTTTTCCCTAAAGCACTTTTTTTTTTTTAAATTGTGATTTGGGTGAAAATTTACAGAGCAAATTCACTTTCCATACAGCAGTTCACATACACTTTGTCTGATGAAATTGACTACAATTTCCCACAATGCAGCAGCTCCCCTCCCACTTCCTCCCCATAGTTACCTCTTCCCTGTGTCCTTCCCTCCATGCGTTCCTGTCCCCTGGGCTGTCTCCCTGTGCACACACAACCCTTCTTTCTCCCATGATTGATCTCTCCAGGGAGTGTGTCTACCTAATGTAAATGTTCAGCTCATATGCCTGTCTTTTGTTTGGCTGGAAGCCACAGGTGTGGGTTCAAGTCCAGACCTGAAGGGCAGCTAGGGGCCATAGTCTCAGTGGTTCCATCAGGCTCTATCGGACCAGGAAACCTGGTCCTGGGGTGCACTCTTACGGTGAACCACATGACAACTGAGAAACAGAACAATGCAAAGTTCACAGCACAGTGGTTAAGTGCTCAGGTGCTAACTGTTAGCACTTCAAACCCACATCTTTCTTCTGCTCTACAGAAGAAAGATATGGCAGTGGGCTACAAAGATTGACAGCCTTGGAAACCCATGGGGCAGTTCTACTCTGTCCTCTAGGGGCGCTGTGAGTCGGAAACAACTCGATGCGATAGGGATGTTGACAGCAAGGAGCCCTGGTGGCATATTGGCTAAGTGCGCCTGCTCACTGCTAGGTTAGCAGCTCCGATCCACCCAGCAGCCCTGCTGGATAATGACCTGGAGAGCTGCTCACGGAAAGACTGTTGGTGTTGCGAGCTGTTGAGTTGGTTCCGACTCATACAGACGCTGTGAGGATGAACAACGGAACACTGTTAGTCCTGCACCGTCCTCATCCCCGTTGCTATATTTTAGCCCATTGCTGCAGCCACTGTGTCAATTCATTAAAAAAAAACTGTAATAATTACAGCCTGGAAAATCCTACAGACAGTTCTACTCTGTGACATGGGATTGCTGTGAGTCCCAGCCGACTGGACAGCACCTAACACCAGCAGCATGTGGAAAGCAAGACCCAAAGAATGCATACTTCGTGACATGTATGGTTAATAAACTGGCTAGAGCAACCAAACTAGTCCATGAGCTTATGGTGAAAGAAATGAAAAAAGTGGGGCAGAGTGGTGTCTGCTAGTGACTGGATAGGCCCAGGATGGAACTTTCTGGAGTGTGGGAAATATTCCACACACTCATATGTATGTATCTGGATTTGGGTTGTGTTTGTAGGGGCATATAAACCAAACTCATTGCCATCAAACCGACTCCGACTCTCAGCGACCCTATAGTACAGAGTAGAACTGCCCAGGCAGGGTTACCAAGGCTGTAAATCTTGAAGGAAACAGATTGCTATCTTTCTTCTGTGGAGTGGCTGGCAACCTTCCAGTTAGCAGCAGAGAGCTTTCACCACTGTTAACCAGAAGGCTCACTTATGTGAAAATTGCATCAAACTTACACTTAAGATGTATGTACTTACTGTAGGTCATGCCTCAATAAAATTTAACAATATCTAATAATAGTTATGATAATAGTTACCGATTGGGAGCTCTGGTAGCATAGTGCCTAAGGCACTTGACTGCTAACCAGAAGGCTGGCAGTTCAAACCCACCAGCCACTCCTCGGAAGGAAGACTTCCGTAGTGATACTGCCTCAGAAACTCAAGGAGGGGTCGCTATGAGTCGCGTTTGACTCGGCAGCACATAACAACTAACAACAACATATGTTAGGTGGCATGGTGCCTAAGGCATTTAACTGCTAGGCTGGAGGTTCAAACCCACCAGCCACACTCCTCGGAAGGAAGACTGGGCAATCTACTTCGTAGAGATACAGATTCGGAAACCCAAGGTGGGGTCACTATGCATTGGAGTCGACTGGATGGCAGTGAGTTTGGTTTTTGATTTGGTATATATTAGTTGCTCTGGTGGAGTAGTGCCTAAGGCATTTGACTAACAGGAAGGTTGGCGGTTCAAACCCACCAGCCATTCCACAGAACATAGGGCAATCTAACTTTCATGAAGATTTACCACCTTGGAATGGGGGTCGCCCTGAGTCGGAATTCACTCCATGGCAGTGGGTTAGGCTTTTGGTTTATATACTAAATAGGAGCTCTGGTAGTGCAGTGATGAAAAGCACTGGGCTGCTAATTAAAATGTCTAGCAGTTCGAACCCACGAGGCACTCCATGGGAGAAAGATGAGGCGGCTGCTTCCTATGGAAACCCTAAGGGGCAGTTCTACTCTGTCCTATAGAGTCGCTATGAGTCGGAATCGACTGGACGGCAGCGATTTTTTTTCTTCCTGCCACAAGCCATGATAGATTTTGTTTTGTTTTTATCAGCTAACCAGTACCCTTCTCTTAGGCCCTAATCACACTGCCAGGTAACTACTGGTTGAGTACAACCAACTGGGCTAGGTAAAGGGAAAAGCTTTCTGAAGACAGCTCCAAGTATAGGGACCGCTGCAGCCCACGCGCTGCTACCGTGCCGGAAGCGTGCCCAGGGCAAATTGCGGACGTGACTCCAGCCCAAGAAGACAGAGGCCCCACCCCGTCGTACTCCTGCGGAGAGGCCCGCACAAGAAGCCGCGAGAGACTCCAGCCAATCAGCAGCCGGCCCGGCCCCAGGTCACTCCACTCGGGGCTCCGTCACCTAAGCTGACCACGCGCCGCCAATGAGAAGCGCCCTTTACGCCCGGTGCTGGCTCTCCGCTCTTCCGCATGTTTCCGCAGTGCAAACGTCACTCCGAGCGCCGGTTGGCGGCCTTCCAGCCAATCGCCGACCTGCCCTGCTCCCAGCAGCCAATGGACGTTCGTCTCTCCGCCCCCGGCCGCGACGGTTGGCGCTGGGTCTCCGCAGCCCGCGGGAGGCGGGGTCGGATTGGCGCAGGCGGTGTCCAATGGGCGGCGCGCGCGAGGAACGGGGCCAATGAGCGCGCCGGGGGCGGGGGGCGGGCGCCGCGGCGGGCGGCTGCAAGGAGCGGCCGGTGGCGGCGGCGGCCAGTGGCAGCGGGTGGCGGGCAGCCATGGCGGAGGCGGAGGCCGGCGGTGACGACGCCCGCTGCGTGCGGCTGAGCGCCGAGCGGGCCCAGGCGCTGCTGGCCGACGTGGACACGCTGCTGTTCGACTGCGACGGCGTGCTGTGGCGCGGCGAAGTGGCCGTGCCAGGCGCGCCGGAGGCCCTGACGGCGCTGCGGGCCCGCGGCAAGCGCCTGGGCTTCATCACCAACAACAGCAGCAAGACCCGCGCGGCCTACGCCGAGAAGCTGCGGCGCCTGGGCTTCGGCGGCCCCACGGGGCCCGACGCCAGCCCGGAGGTCTTCGGCACGGCCTACTGCACCGCGCTCTACCTGCGCCAGCGCCTGGCGGGCGCGCCGTCTCCCAAGGCCTACGTGCTGGGCAGCCCGGCGCTGGCGGCCGAGCTGGAGGCCGTGGGTGTCGCCAGCGTTGGCTTGGGGCCCGAACCGCTGCGGGGCGACGGACCGGGCGACTGGCTGGCCGCGCCGCTGGAGCCCGACGTGCGCGCCGTGGTGGTGGGTTTCGACCCGCACTTCAGCTACATGAAGCTCACCCAGGCCGTGCGCCACCTGCAGCAGCCCGGCTGCCTGTTCGTGGGCACCAACATGGACAACCGGCTTCCACTCGAGAACGGCCGCTTCATCGC